ACTAATACTACTAATACTACTAATACTACTAATACTACCAATACTACTAATACTACTAATACTACTAATACTACTGTACTAATACTACTAATACTACTGCCACTGCCACTGCCGCTACTACCACTACTACCACAGCTACAACTACAATTACAACTGCGCTTCATTACACTACACTACGCTAATTACACTGCAGTACACTAGAACTACAGCTACAATTGCAACTACAATTGCAACTACAATTACCCTACGTTACACAACACTACGCTACACTAATCATATTACATTACACCACAGCTACAACCACAATTGCAAACGACAATTACAACTACCACTACATTACACTCTACTAGACTACACTACACTACAACTACAACTACACTACTTTACGCTACACTACAGTAGACCGCACTACGCTATACCACACTACAGTACACAACACTACGGTACACTACACTAGACTACATTAATTACACTGCAATCACAACTGCAACTGCAGCTACACCTGCACTACACTAATTACACTACACTGCAACTACAACTCCTTTACACTACAATTACAATTACATCCAACAGTTGTGGTGAGGTCACCACTGCAACCACTGCAACCATTCCAAAAAACAGCTCCAACCACCTTTTGGTCCATCAGTGGATTCGCTCTGCCATCCATGATTCACAACAACCAACCTCTCCTATAGGCTTCCTATTTTTGAAGCTTCCTCCGCCGCCTTGTGCGGCACTACTGGCATACATCTTTTTAAAAAACACATTATATAGCCTAATTGGCATAATCGTATAATTGTATGATACTTATACGATGTTATACGCATATTCTACATCCTTGCATCTTTTGGGGATGTTTTTGTTCAGCCAAATCTCTTCAGCCAAGAATTTGTTGCCACAGGCTGCCGGGGAGCACTTCTCCGCAGAGACTGCTGCAAAAGTCTTGCAGCGGCTTCCCGAACTGCTGGGACGCTCAGGGTAACTTAAAGCAGCTTAAGGTGCAAAAATGATGAACTCATGAAACTCATGAAGGTTTAACGGTTCATCATGCTGGTAAATCCTGGGACAGAGAAGGGCCATGACCGAGATAAACACATTAGTTTCTTCGCGGTATAAATTCTGATATTCTATCTGACATATATTCTGACCTCTATTTTTGGATTTTATCTGACAGCTGACATTCTACTTGACATTCTATGTGACAATCTAATTTGACATTTTATCTGACATTCTATTCTATCTGTCCATCGGGCATTCTATCTGACATTTTATCTGGCAGAGTGTTCGGGCCCAGCGGCCAAAACAGCTGCAAACTACGGCCCAGACAGCTCGTGATACCCTTCGGGTGGGTTAGGGTACACAGAGCTGGCGAGGTAGCGATAGAGGGCATGTGCAGAAGCGGCTGGCGAGGGAGCTGGCAGAGGAGAAGGACGCAGGAAGAAGGAAAGCAGGGGAGGAAGGAAGAAAGATAAGAAAGGAAGAACGGAAGCAAGGATGGAAGATGATGGAAGATGATGGAAGATGATGGAAGGACAGAAATTAGGCGGGACGTTTTCTTAGAGCTCACCTGGCAGGCGGGGAAAAAAGGAATGCTGACAGTGGCTGACAGATGTGTTGATGTGTCTATGACATGCATGGTACGCCCAGAAATATACATATGCAATACTATGCAATCATGTTGTCAAATATTATGATATGCTGGTATGCTGGTATGCGTGATCTACTGTAGAGTATGCATGTGTTGTCCATATGATTTTATGTATCTCATCACAGAGATTAGACACCCGAAGTGTCTCTACTGGTATCTCAGTGTTGTATGTTGTCTTGAGTTTTTTTTTCTCAATTTGTTGGTTGCTCTCACTGGGCTCGGCCCAGGCTTGCAGCTTCAGCGCTGAAAGCACTGGACCTGTCTGCGCATTTGGAGAAGGGTGCAGCTGTAGAGGCAGAAAAAATCAACCCATCTGACATGATCGGACATGATCTGATATGATGTGACGCTTGCGACAAGTGACATGTGTGACCAGCGTCTGCAGCTCTCAGCGCCACATCCTGGCATCGAAAATACTTCAAGCGCGCAAGGACGAAATTCATGCACAGAGCAAACTTGATTGACGTGAAGACAGCATGAACCAACCATCAATCCGAGATCGTCAAAGCAATCAGTGATAATCAAAGAAGAGTCTGGTTGTCCGATTTACCATGTTTGAATATGTTTAACATTGTTTAACTGGCGGAGGCAGCAGCCTTGCCGACACAGAAATCTTCAGAGGCAGTGTGCGCATTGGAACCTGAAACAATCTGGAACGATCTGGAACCATTTGGAACCATTTGGAAAGATCTGGAACGATTTGGAACGATTAGCGTTCACAATGTGCTCCTTTCAAAGACTTCTCTCTGATTGGGCCAGGTTGCAAGGAAAACTATAGAGGGGAATTTTTGAGCAAAAACCGAAAAGTTCAGACCTGCGCCAAGAAACTCGTGGCGTGGCCTTGATGGGTGAGTTCTATTGATTCTATTGGAATTGGGGAGAACAACATTGTAACATTATGTAACATGCATTTCTTTGCGGCGTTTGCGCCTGGAAGGAGAACACTGTCAACGAGGCTGGGAGCATTTATATAAGGATATAAATTCACATTCATGTTGAAACAATGTCAAATTAGAAGGTGTCAATAAGAGCGGTGTTTCATAACTCTAGAAGCAAGACTGACAGTTTTCTCCTTTATGCCACAGTTCTGTTTTGTTTTTTCTTCACTATACTCGTTGCGATGGCTTATTGATCTTATTGGATCTATATTATACATATATATTATATATATATTTCAGCTATGCATTTTGAGATACACATGTAGCAAACATGATCTAAATATGTCTAGTATACAGAAGTCATGAATCATAGAAATACAGCATGGCATAAAGTCTATATATGTATATATGTATATATGTATATATGTATATATGTATATATGTATATATGTATATATGTATATATGTATATATGTATATCAATGTATATATGATATTATATGTCTTTACAGCTGTCCACCACTACCCGCCTTGCCTGTAAATCCTTCGCCAGGCCTTTCTGATGGTACACACAAAAATCGAAGTGCCGGCCTGATGCTACATCCACAATCTTTATCAATCTTGGACATTTGTGCCCCAATTGGCTTGCAAACAGAAGCAGGACATTGATATGCACTGATGCTACGTTGAGGTATAGACTGCATCTGTGAGGATTCAAGGAATTGAGCCAATGATGGATACACATTGCGGCCCAATGTCTGAGACAAGGAACTTGCAAGTAGAAAGAACAGGATACTGTAAAACCATGCTGAAAGCATGAGCACCAAGAATTGTTTTTTGACATCCTTGATTGGACCTCCATGTATTGACCGTATCATCACCGCAGTGCCTGGTGCCATATGGATCCACATGGCATAGTACTACCGTACGACCTAATGGTGTGCAAAGGCCAACTTAGATGCCGCGATGCAAGCTCTCATCCCTCTTCCATCCTTGGAGTGGCCAGGTGTCTCAGATTGTCTCAGGTTTCCAGGAAAAACAGAAAACACACAGGCTCTATGCGAGAGATTGAGAGATTTTGAGAGACATCTCGCGACCATTTTCATTTTCCGGCAGCCTTGGCAGCCTTGGCTTCTATTTGTAAAATTTTGTCAACATGAAGCACTTGAAGAAACAACAAGAAACACAGGGACAAACTTGCGAAATGAATCGAAATGATAGCCTTTGTTGGTATTTTTTAAACTGGTTTGTGATGTACTCGCAATTTACTGATGCTCAGATTAGTGGTTGCTTTGGTCCTAGGGTTGTAGAAATTCTGTCTTGCAGGCTCATTGTAGGCTCATTGTACTTGTAGGCTCCCTGTCCACAAATTGGTGTTTCGAAACAAGATGATCCAGTCGGCCAGTCGGAACATGCTGCCAGGTCCAGTAGGATTCCGATCAACCACTCCAGATTGAGGCTTTCAATAGTGGCTATGTTCTACGGATCATTGCGGCCTGCCCCGCTGCCACGGCACATCTTGGAGGAAAACCACAGACTAGACATGACTAGACATGTGCGGGGTGAGATAATGTGGGATGTGGCAAGTTGCATGTTGTGAATATCTGTATGTCATTGTCCGTGCTATGTGTTATGTGTGTCTGTGCTGATTGCACAGCCAACTTCATCTTCTTTGAAGTGCATCGAAGTTAGTTTTCTGGTCAGGACTGTGCGGATCTAGCCTTCAAACAGCGAAAGGACGAGCCAAAGGAGCAAGCGGGATGAAGGGCCTGGAAAGATCTGGGCAACAAGGCAACAAGGACAAGTAGGACAAATAGGACAGACAGTGCTACCGGAGTACTGAAGTACTACTTCGTATGATCGCACATGGATTTGGTCTAGTCTTAGTAGATTGGATAGAATAGAATCGCATCACAGCACATCATATGCTATGAACTTATATAGACAGTGGTGATTGGCATTTGGCAGTACAAGCTCCCTGTTTGTTTTGGAGTGGTAGTTTTTTGCTGCTCAAAGATATTCGAGATGTTCATCGCAGCGCTGGAATGTGCATCTCCACTTGCGCATTGCGACGGTATGACTGGCATTCCTTGTTGAGTGTAAAATTGGTCTCCAAGGTATAATATGGTACAATGAATAATAACATCACATAACATAACACACCGCACTAACCTTGGGGGCTGTGGATACATCATCATTTTCCCATCTCGGCATATTTGCTCTTGAGACAGATCTCAAATGATCTCAGATTTACTTTGCTCAGCACACATGAAAGATATGAAAGTGATTGAACAAAGATCAAACAAACGGGGGAGCCGTCTTTCAAAAGCTTGAAATTCAGTGCACTAGGACCCTTAGGAGCGGCTCCTCTTTGCAAGAAACCTTCACTTGGCCATGCGTTTGTCATTTTCGATCAGGCTTTCCCTCCTAAAGAAGTGTTGTCCAGATTGGCCACATTCCTGCCTGGGGCCGTTGTGAGAAGCCATGGAGTGGCATGAGAGCAAAGAGGAGGACAGAAAGAATTGTGTCCGGCTTGATCAGTACTGCGTAATGTACAATGCGCGTATTCTCTATAAGTCTCTGTCATTATATATCCAGATTATTACTGTATATATATATATATACAGTATACGTATATTTTGAAATTCGTTGAATCAAATCAACATTGTTCTTTTGACCCTGACGCACAACACGCACTCGGCTACTGCAATGGTTGAGAGCATCTCAAACTTGTTGTTCATGACCCTGATTCAGCAAACTACCTCCATCGCTTCTACGTGGTATTTGGATGTATGTTTGGAAGATTCAAAGTAAATAGACAGCGAAAGCAAAAGAACTGTGTCAGGCTTGAATTTGCAGCCAGATTTTAATGTGTCTCAACTTAGAGCCCACTCGATTTCTCAAAGAAGCCTCATTATCTCTGTGACATGAGTAACCTGCCTATTGAATCCTATTGACACGCTGTAGCCGCAAAGAGAATCCCAGAGATCGTGCAGAATCCCAGGAGCGCAGAGAGTCCGACCGATTTGCACGTAGGATTGCTGCAGCGAATCAGCGATGCCAGTCCCGAGCTACTCAAAGGCGCGGCCAAGAAAGGGACAGCAAACAGCTAAGAAACATGTGGACGTATCTGAAAACATCTGAAAACTATGACAGTATTTAAAGTATTGTATTGATTTGCATTCCAAGAATTGCAGAACACATGACAACTACACTATATAAATACACATACAACATCATACAATTGTAATCAACTAGACTATAATCTTACAACTACAACCTTCTTCTAAAGCTTTCACGATTCACGATACTTTGCCGGTGGATCCCTCAAAATTCATTGAGCAAAGGTTCAAGAAGTTTTTGCTAAATCAGTTGGGCGATTTGGTCTTGGGACGGTTTCACCAAAATAGATGCGCTAGATGGACTAATTGGACAGATTGCCGAGCTGTTTTCCATGCAATCCTCTTGCAGAAAGTGCAGCTGGAAGAACTACTTATATAAAGTATCTTAAGGTTCCTGGAGGACTTTTCAAGAGCCACTTCTAGAGCAAAGGACTGCCTAAGTAGGGAAACCAATTCTTAGTTCCAAAAACATATTCTTAATGATGAATGAAGTGTTCTGTAGTTCTCAATATCTCTTGGAGAATCAGGCTGTCTCATGCCTCATGCTGTTTCATGATTAGCCAGGTATTGCAGGTGCCTTGAAAAGTGCAGCGTTGAGCGACAAAGAACAAACTCAACTCCTTCGAGGCTAGTGGCTGGGCTGAGAGCTGAAGTGGCCGAAGTGGCCAAAGTGGGTGAAGTGGCTGAAGTGGTAAGGGATGCAAGGCCGTTTCTGATTCTCTTGACAGTTTTGGTGACCTTATTTTTTCGCATTCAAAGTTCGTTTCAAAATGTTTCATCTCTTTGATGCACCTGCACCGTGAGCTCGAAATTTGCGCAAGGCCTAGCAGATGCTGCGCTGTGGAGTCACTGCCTGGAGCATCTTCAGGGAATCAGGCAAAGCATGGCAAAGCGTTCAGCAAAGCGTTCCGCAATGTTCAGCATTTCTTGGTTCAACATGGTTCAATTCTCCTTGAGTCCGGGTTGCATATTGTGGCATATTGTGGCGCATAGGAGCACTGGCCTGCAATGCAACATGGTCCATGTCAATGCTGTCGCAGCTGCCAAAGTGGATCGCTCTTGGCCTGTAATGATGAAGCTGCTGGAAATTACCAAGACATGGCGAGGGTTGGAGCTGGACACAATCAGAACCTCAGTGAAGAATTTGGGAGGTTTGTAAACGGTTTGTATGGGAAACATGACTCCACAAGAGATGCCTCTTCTTTGGCGCTTAATGATTTTGTTTGTGGTCACTACAAGTGTCGTTTAAGCTTGGCTGCAGTATGATAAAGCATGACCGAAGAATGGTAACGTGTTGCTTTTGGCCTGCCTTCTCTAGTAAACAGTCTATTCATGTCTATTCTATGCAGTCATTTGTATGTGTACTCTTGATTCACACTTCATCACTCTTCCGCTCATCTAGTTGTATCTAGTTGTGCAGTCTCCATGCAACTTGTGATTTCCTTTGTGCATTTCTGAAGCAGATTGCCTTTCCCATCAGGCTTCAAACAGGCTTCAAACAGACAGCCACTCTATGCTGCTCGCAGTGAGGCTTCAACACCGCTGCGGGAAGCTGCATTGGAAGTGGCGAATGGATTCACGCCCTACACTGGATGGCGCTCTTGGCTTCTTGGATCATCTTGGATCATCTTGGATCATCTTAGTTGAAGCTCTTAGCGCTCTTAGCGCATTCCTGTGACTAAGCCAGGCCATTAAAACCACCACTGCTTGGACCTTGGTGAGATGTGTGCGAATCGAAGGACCATTGCAGCATTATGGAGGTCAATTGAGCTTTCCAGAACAAAGATGAACAAAGAAGTTGAGACTTGCGGCTTTGAAACAAGCCCACGGCAACCTTTCTGGATTATGGTGGATTTAAACTGGAATCTCTCATGACACAAATTGTTCTCGTGATTCGTTGTTCCGGCCTAGCGTCCTGCAACCTTTTGAATTAACGTACGTCATGCAAATAGGTTTTCTGTTGGAGGATGTGTCTCGGTAATCCTGCAACACCTAAGTCTTGAAGTCCAGTACTCCGTGTCAGCATTGAGGCTTCTCAGGCTCATTTCTTGAGATTGTTTGAGGTTTCCGGTGGCTTGAAAGGAGATCCAACAAGTCACAACATGGCGCTTGCCTTGTTTGACAAGCTGGGGAGGTGAGGTGAAACGATTTGACACGGCCAGACACAGACTTGGCAGCATTTTTTTGAGGGATGTGAAAGCTAGGACACTGGCCTCCAGCAGGGCTTCCGCAGAATGAACAAGACATGTAATATATATAAAAGATTGTAAAAGGACATTACAGATTTTTGACAAGCCAGAAACATTCAGCAACATTCAGCAATCGCAGGAATCAGGAACACATAGTTTTGGTGCCAACTTCAATTTGCAAGAAGCTGATCAGTTGGAATCATTTCGATGCGCTTTCATTTTCTTTCTGTTACAGATTGTTCCAGACAGGTGGCGTATGGTGCTGCATGCCTTTGATGAGAACCAAGCCGATGTGGCAAGCTACAGCATGGTCATGCGTGGCTTGAAAGTTGTTGGACGTTATTTGGTCGTACGACTTGATACGACCTGATACGACTTGTGTTTCTTTTGTCAGAGTATTGCATGGTATTGCCATGTGTTGCCTTCTCTTTAATTTGAATATTTTGCCATTGGCCAAAAAGCACAAGAGTTGTTCGCAAAACTATGGCAACAAATTACCAAACCGCAAGCAAAATCTTAAGGCAACGCTCGGCTTGAAGGTAGCTGGCAACTTGCAATTGCCTTGCTGGATCCTTGCCAGCAAGAGTCGTGTGTTTGTGTCCATGCGACAGGCAACGCATGGCAAGACCCCCCAAATTCTTGTTTTTGGTTGTGCACTCCCGTCCGCTCCTCCTGCCTCCTCCTGCCTCCTCCTGCCTCCTTCCGCCTCCCGCTCACACACAACTTACTCACACACAACTCACAACTTACTCACACACACAACCCTCATACACACAAAGCTCCCTCACGCACAACTTGTTCACACACAACTTGTTCACACACAACTCGCCCACACACACACAACTCCCTCTCACACAACTCCCTCACACACACACAACTTACTCACACACAACTCTTTCACACACAGCTTACCCACACACAACTTGTTCACACACAACTTACTGGCAGGCGTGGCACTTGGCGACATAGACATAGACCTTCACTTTGTGTGGCAGGCATGGCACTTATGGCACTGGGCTGGCTCTGGTGGCACGCTTGGTCCGCCGGCGACGCCGCGGTCTTTTTGCGTGGCTGGCGGGCAATTTGGTGTGGCAGGCGTGGCACTTGGTGACATCCAGTGTCATTTGGCGTGGCAGGTGTGGCACTTGGTGACATTGACCTTGCCTTTGCGTGGCAGGCAACGCGCTTATGGCATTGGGCTGTCTCTTGTGACGCGCTTGGTCCGTGCTGTTGTCTGTCACCTCGTTGGCCGGGGGTGCAGGATGACACAACCCTGTGTGCTTGGGGCCAACGCTCGGTTTCTAACCGCATATGACAGACAGCAAGGGCTATGGGCTAATGCGCCTGACACACCCCAGCATTAAAAAGCGCCGTGTGATTGTGTGGTGGGTGGCATGTGTGTGTGTGTACACCATGCCAAGGGGCAGGCCCTCCAATCATACTGCTTGCTTCACTTGCATAGACGTCACATTGCATGCATCTCCGTTACTGTAACTATCACGTGTGCTTTATTAATTATGTGTCTACTGTCATCTGTTGCACGTTTTGACCCCCGTTTGTCTCCCCCCACGTCTCGTCACGAGGTTTCGAGGCCAGGCACCTTTCCGTCTTCATCGTGCGCGTGCTCCCGTCGCTACCTGGCAAGGGGTGGCTTTGACGCGCCTGCGGAGAATTCCACCATGTCGAGCACATGTCAGCACCACATGTCTAACAGCTGTCCAGCCAGTCATGAGTCACTGCACCGTTGGGTTCTCAATGCGTGTAGTTGATGCCTGGCTTGCCTGACCTGCCAGGTACCTCTGCGAAGCTCGTTCTGGTTTTCCTTGAACGACGGTTCTCTTGATGCGCCGTGCGAAGACGCAACCTTCTCCATCCGCCAAGAACCTGCTGCAGACCGTCTGCTCTCATGATGGTCTGCGCGGGCTGCTCGGCCACATTGCGCATGCTGCCAAGACCGGCGGTTGCCATTCACCTCTACTCTACTCTACTCTACTCTACTCTACTCTACTCTACTCATGGTGTTGGCATGTCGGTTGTGGCGACATAACATGATCACCCACCACTTATCCACAACACTTGTACATACAACACTTAGCGCACAATGCATTCTTACACCGGGACTTTGCACACACGTCTGTCCCACACACAATTCTTTGACGCACACGCACTTTCCCACGCATGTCTTGGACACACAGCACTTTTGCACCCACTCCTGTCCCACACCACTCTTTCACCCACAACATTTTCACACGCACGACTTTTCACACACCACTTTTACACGGAACTTTTTCACACACCTCACTTCGACACGCATTTCTTGCACACACCGATCCTTCACCATCTCTTTTCTCTTTCCTGCCTCTCCCATCCCATTTTCAATCATTTTCACGTTTCTTTGGCCACTTATTGGAAGAAATTGACATGTGGGGATATCCGGTCCTTTAATTCCTCATCCCATCCGTGGCTGTTGTTCCTCCGGCAGGACAAAATTCTAGATGCAAAACTGCGGTTGGACAACACTGCTATGAACACAGCGATTGCGTGCATTCCAAGATGGGAAATTGCAACTGAAGTGCTGCTGAGCATGAGTGGCTCGGCGCTGGATGGAAAATGATGGAACATGCTCAAAGAGGGTCTGGGCGGAAAACATTGGAAAACTGACATGACATGACTGACACTTGTTCATGGAGATCCATGGAACACTCTGTGAAACAGAACGTGCTGTGAGTCTTTCGATGTCTTTCGCCATATTTTCTGCTTGCATTGCTTGTGCATGCACTTCATAAATTAATATAAATTACACATCCTGGCTGTGCTTTCGAATAGCTTTTGCTGAATGATTTTTTTTGAGCCAGCCATGACTTGACATGTTTGTTTTTTTCAAAAGAACACTGATACATACCTGTTTGATCCTTTCTGAGAAGGACTTCCAAGTTTCCAGTTTCCAAATGCTTGCAAACTCTACAGTTCTTGTCTGTGCACATCTGATTCAATTTAGCAGATTTCTTTCAAATTTGCAACCCAAGGTTCCAGAAGCATGCCAAAGGATGACAACCGTCGTGACACCTGTGTTTGCTTTCGCTTGCGCGGTTTGATCCAGTTTGCGCATGACCATTGAGCCTCAGTCCAGTGTTCATGGCTTTTGCAAGGTATTTGCATGAACTCATCAACTTGAAGCATCAAACTGCTGGATTTTGCGTAGTGATGTTTTTTTTTGGGCGGGCCTGTAACTTATATAGTATCTATGCCTGGGCAATGCCTCCCAACCCGATTCATCCATACAGTCCACAAACTGCAACATGGCCTATTGTGTTGAATTGGTTGAACAGATTTTAAAAATTCTCCCGCAGATGAAATCATCGTTCTTATCTGAAGCAACCATGGTGGCTGATGAACTGCTGAAGGACATCGTCACAGTGAACGCAGCAGTCAATGCCTGTGAAAAGGTCGGCCAAGCGACGTTTGTGTACCATCAGATGAACACGATTCAATGAGTTTGAAAGTCCTGCTGCTATCGTGATTCGGACATTCTCTGTGAGAAAAACGAATCCTCTGGAGCTTCTTGCACAAAAGACTTTCGGGCAGATTCAAGGTATACCCCACCCTCTTATATAGGCTGTCTAGACTGGATGCCATAAGCTCACTGGCTTTGTGTTGGCATTCCAATGACAGGATTGGCTAAAGTGAAAACAAAAGCTGATGAGTTCTGAGTTTCCCAAGCAGTCCCACCTTCGCCTGGGTGTGCTTTACCAGTACTCAAGTTCCGAGTTTTCCAGATTGCGTCCTGCTGTAATACCATGTACTCTTTCAAAGTTTGAACGCCTTTACAGTAGCACAAGCAATCCAATCGAGCATGCTAGACCCCTCAGCCTCTCAGCATTGCTGGCGTAGATCCATAGAATGCTTCTGTTGCTGCTAGTGGTATAACTTGAAACTGGACTCAAGCAAATCTCTTGGCAGACATTTCCATCCTCCTCTGATGCCAGTCCTTGAAGTGGAGCTGTGCATCCTCGCTATTGATGAATGCAGGTGCACACAAGAACCGGAGCATTTGATCTTGAGAGAAATGGCATGCAACTGTGGTTTCCTTTTCTATCTAGGCTTCCTCCTTCCTAGGAGACAGTAGTTACCTGATGTTACCTGTATACTTGTGATGTCCAGCAGTAGAGGCTATATAGGTGAACCGAATTAAACAGCAATGCAAAGCTTGATTTGCGTACATTCCTTTCCAGCACAAACCTCAGCGCCGAAGGTAGCACCTCAGACCTACTGTTCACATCCGTTCACAAGTATCCATTAGCCTTTTTTTGAAATTGACAGACGCCTTCAGTTTATTTCAGTTTAGTTTTAGGGTATTTTGAAATTGTTTTAATGTCATCCCTAATTGCCTTTTTTGTTTGGTTTCTCCCTATTCATCTGCTGCGTTTCTAATGGCAGGTTGCTCCCAGTTGCAGGCGTCCGAATGGAGCCACTCAGCCCAACTTTTTGTCGTTAAGATATGTGGGTAACCGGGTAACCATGTCTTGACGAGTTGAATCACTGATTCACATTGAATCACAATTATTCATGCCTTTAGTGGTCACTCGTATATGCTACAGCTGGGGGGGTGTTAATTTTTCAGTTCTTGATGCTTTTTGAATCTTTGTGATACCTTTTGCACCATGCATTTCCTTCCCGCTTGTGGCATACTTCTGGTTGGACTTTCAGAGTGACTCCTGTACTACATTTCTTCGTGACTTTCCTGTACCAGCAGGGCCACTGAACAGTTCTTTCAAGTTTGAATAGACAACAATCGAAGGAGTCCTGCACACTTTAAGGTGGAAGATCAGCTTCCCCACATCAGTGTTGAGAGCCGTTGAGAAGAGAAATCTGAGGCTTTAATACTTTCGCAGCTTGGCAAATTCAAGCCCTTGCAAGCATACCTGAACTGCTTAGAAAACCAGGATACTGCGCAAAGAGAATGCTTACAGGATCAGGCTTTTTAGTGCTCCTTTACGCAGAGACTCGATCCTGACAACCAATGAGATTCAGCAGGGGAAAGTTAACGCCATAGTTTTGCACATCAATACCAATGCCAAAGACCTGTCCCCGTGGCAACAGCTTTGTATAAGCAAAGGCTAGCAAGAGAGAACTTTTGGAATCAAATTTCCTTTGATCACTGCCTTACACTATTTGACGCCGTGGTGCAATTGTGTTGGACTTCTGTTGTTCCAATTTGTTTCATTTGCATCGATGTGTGTTTGATGTGGCTTCGATTTGCCGTTTTGTCAAGGCCAGTTCTTTGTTCAAATCGAAGCAATGGAGGGCAGCGCTGGACCTGGGCGATGCCACAGTCACAAGAGGTAGCCCGTGGGCACATCATACGGCTTCATACGGCATCATGTGGTCATCAGCGAACCGTTGCCTATAAGAAGATACTGAAGATACCTATGATATCCTTTGACTAACGATTTGCCTTTGATATCCGTTGATGCCTGCGAAGAGGGGAGATGGGTATGGCACGTGTCACGGTAAGGTGCTACTATCGTATGTAAGATTATATACAAAGCATACAACCTATTGACTTATTGATTGTGGCCGCTATGTGTCTGCTGGTCCGGTCCAGACGGTTCCTAAGCATAGAACGTCAACACAAGAAGTGTTTGAATTCCTGAAACACCCTCATTACATAACCCTAATTTCCAAGTAACGGAACTTGTAGTAACAGAGAACGACCCTCCCTCTTCTCTCTTCTACTCTTTCTCTTCTCTCTAACCCTTTCCATCTCTGCTTTTCATCTGGCCAAATTGTCGGAAGTTTGACTTCTAAACTTCCTTCAATTATTTCAATATTATATATATTAAATATATATATATATATATTACATTATATATATAATATTATATATATATATATTATATTATATATTATATATATTATATA